TTAAGTATATTTAGGTATAACCAGGCATAACCCAGGCAAAACAAATAATAAATTTGTTACTTCAATCAATAATTTCTATCCGACGAGTTCAAAAGAAAAAGAACACGACGAATTATTGTATACGGTGTTGGTCACTCGTTACGGTCCGCAATCAGTTGCCAGCGCAAGTAGTTAACCTCTTGCGCTGGAACGACGTGCCACGCACGTCGAGAATATTTGGCCTAAAATTGCGATATATTTCTCAGTTTTAAGTGTATTCAAGTAAAACAAAATAGGCAAAACAAATAATAAATAATTTGTTACTTCTCAATAATTTCTATCCAGTGATGTACCGATGAATTCAAAAAGAAGACAAGTTATTGTATATACGGTGTTGGTCACTCGTTACGGTCCGCAATCAGTTGCCAGCGCAAGTGATTAACCTCGTGCCACGCACGTCGAGACTATTTGGCCTAAAATTGCGATATTTCTCTCAGTTTTAAGCGTAACTCAGTATTTAAGTATAACTCAGGCAAAACAAATAATAAATTTGTTACTTCTCAGTAATTTCTATCCAATGATACACCGACGAAGTCAAAAAGAAAACGAGTTTATTGTATACGGTTCGGTCACTCGTTACGGTCCGCGGACCGATTACTAGCGCAAGAGGTTAACTGTACAGAGCATTCGTTTCTAAGAGTCCGCATTTTTCTCTCGTTATCTATATACTACTACACAGTATACTAATTTTTCGAATCTCCGGTTTCAGTAGCTTTAATTGTAAAAAAAAAAAGTCTTGAGGAACAAACAATGAAATTATGCGAGAGAAGAATTAATCGATTTACTCGATTAATTTTGACAATACGATGTAATTCGATGAGCAGGTCTTCGAAAATCTACAGAAAAGTGCGGACATTCGTAGCGAACCGATTCAGCGAACGTTTTGTAAAATCGAGGACGCATGACCTTATCGTTGAACTTCCCTCCCCTAATTATATCGATCGGTTATCGAAGTCCTGTTTTAGCTTAGTTTTACCGTCTGTTTACGACTATTATTACTATCGTTATTATTATTACACTATTATCGTTAACGAGCATTACCGATATATTGATTGCTCTTATTATTACGATTGCTGCCCCTATCGCTATTATTGTTACTCGCCGTTATCATCACCGTCGCCACCACGATCGGATTAAGGGAAGAGAGTAAAGATTTAAAAAAAAAAAGAGAGAGAAAAAAGGAAAAAAAAATAGTATGCCCTATACTCGGTATCTGTGTCTGAAAACCACCTATGCATATATTTAATGGTTATCGCTATATACGACTAAAAAAGCTCCAGTAACAGTAAGGAACATTAAACGAAACGCTACACTCCTCCCTCGCCCCAACCACGCTGATTATAAAACAAACACACCCAAGAAAAAGACAAAAAAAAAAAAAAAAAAGAAAGACGTCGTTCGAGACGAGTCCACAGTGTGAATCGAGCTTCATCCGCGGGAAAGAAACAACATCAACCACGAATCGTACACCGTGGCTCGACGACCTTGTGTAATCACTGTAATTCACGTACTATGGACGACGTCGTTCCCACAAAAATTTTGTACGTATAATTAGACCCTATAGTTTCGTTTCCAACGAGATAAAAGAGAGAGAGAGAGAGAGAGAGAGAGAGAGCGAGAGAGAGAGAGAGAAAAGATGATGAAACAGAAGCTGATGCAAATTGTGAGAGAGAGAGAGAGAGAGAGATTCTTGCGAGACTCATAAGCATAGAGAACGTGTCTCTGTTGCTGCACGCGTTATCACACGTTCGAACGTGTGATAATGAGGAAGATCGATGAAACGCATTGTATTCATCCCCGACACACACACACACACACACACACACACATACACACCTATTTATTTGTACATTATTTTACCGAAATAAACGTGCATCTTTTGCATCCTTAAACTTATGATCATTGCGTCATTTACCTTTTAATATAACAGACATTCCTCTAATGAGTTATTGTAACATCATAGAGATAATTATATAGACAAGAAATAAAATGATTCTTTATAATGCGTAATAATTTCTCTCTGTGTCCTTTTGATGCTTTACACTCGAATAAATGATTCCTGATTGTGACGAAAGAGCTCTCGTAGAAAGCGTCGTAGGTGTTGAACGTTGAAAATTGTTTCAGGAAGAAAGTTATTGTTCATTCAAACTTGCGTTGATCCTGTTCGTTCCTAACGAAGCGGAGATACACTTTTTCTAATCTTTTAATTGAAGATACAGTTTCATATTCTATTTTTTTATATTTTATTTTAAGTAATTATTTCAAGATGTATTTCATCTTTTGCTCATCGAGGATTTATCTTTTCTTGCGTTGAACGTTGAAAATTGTTTCAGGAAGAAAGTTATTGTTCATTCAAACTTGCGTTGATCCTGTTCGTTCCTAACGAAACGGAGATACACTTTTTCTAATCTTTTAATTGAAGATACAGTTTTATATTCTATTTTTTTATATTTTATTTTAAGTAATTATTTCAAGATGTATTTCATCTTTTGCTCATCGAGGATTTATCTTTTCTTGCGTTGAACGCTGAAAATTGTTTCAGGAAGAAAGTTATTGTTCATTCAAACTTGCGTTGATCCTGTTCGTTCCTAACGAAGCGAAGATACACTTTTTCTAATCTTTTAATTGAAAATACAGTTTCATATTCTATTTTTTTATATTTTATTTTAAGTAATTATTTCAAGATGTATTTCATCTTTTGCTCATCGAGGATTTATCTTTTCTTGCGTTGAACGTTGAAAATTGTTTCAGGAAGAAAGTTATTGTTCATTCAAACTTGCGTTGATCCTGTTCGTTCCTAACGAAACGGAGATACACTTTTTCTAATCTTTTAATTGAAGATACAGTTTCATATTCTATTTTTTTATATTTTATTTTAAGTAATTATTTCAAGATGTATTTCATCTTTTGCTCATCGAGGATTTATTTATCTTTTCTTATTCTTCATTCGACACTCGGTGTTTTCTACGACTATTCGATCCTCCATAATAATAATAATAAATAAAAACGATGCTCAAAGATGCTTTTCCTTTTTCTGGATGTGAACGCGAGAATCTTTGTAAAAGACAACGCATGGTATTAATTCCTTTTTTATTGTCGTTTTATAACATAGTGCACAATAAATAACGTATATGTATATATATATAATCCATCTGTCACGGTAATCGATTTCTAAAAAGACAGATTGTAGTTATATCATAAATAGTGTTGCATATAAATAAATACGTTCACAGTGAGAGAGGACAGCGACAGCTGAATATAATATAATATTAAGGAACTTACATGGCTAAACATCTTTCTCGTCGATGTTGCATTGATTAAGTTAATAATAACTCGATAATTGAAACGATACCGATAACAGTGAGTTGAATTTCTTCTTTTTCTTTTTTTTCTTCTTCTTCGCGAAATAGATAAGATAGTTGATAAACAGACGTTAAGTGCCGACGATTAGTCGACGTAGGCATGTGTGTATAATATACGACCGAGAAAAGTCCATTTTTTTTTTTTTTTTTTTTTTTTTTTTTTTTTACGTTGAGTTACGTGTACTGTATAATAACATTTGGTACTCCTTTGGTAATACTTCTCATTAATTTCTTAATACGCATCACAGATATGTCGTTGTTTATAGAAAACAAAAACATACACGGGTCACAACGTTTGTAAATTAAAAACTTATCCGTTAACCGTAGAATGTAGGCAAATCGTAGCTTTAACTTCCAAGTTACCTAAATAAGTCAATCGATCAATCGAATCTGTTCGCGTCACAGGACTGCAATTAATCAGTTACAAAGGAGAAAGGAAAGGAAAGGAAGAAGAGAGGAGAAACAATCGTACACGCATAAAATCGTACGCACGCATGGAAATCAGGAGGAAATGATTCCGCGGTCACTTCTCGTCGTTAAGTCACTTGGTTCGCTAAACTATCGAATAGTAAGGATAACTTCAACTCTATACGTAAGATCTATCTATCGTTCCTAAATTTACGTATTATTCTGTATGGTTTAGGCTGTTCGCAGAACGTTGAAATCGATTCAAGACACTTTATCACGTCGATCCGGTGTGACTTTTTTGTTCTACTAGTGGATTTTGACTTCATCTTATCCAGTTAACAGCGGTGGGTCGAAAAATTAATCGGGCGCGATCAATTTTGTTTCACGAGAAGAGTGATATGCACGGTATAGCTTATTTTTATAAATAAGTCGTACAATTATATAGAAATCTGAGAGTCAAGAAGGTGTAGCTTCTTTTGCTCGGTCGTGTATTTGAACGAGAATATAAAATATCTTTTAATACTGATACGATGATCGTAAATAATGTAAAGATATTTGGTAACAGGTAATAATTTTTCCCAACAACATTCCACCGTTAGAACTGGAATTACAAGGTGCGTGGATGCTTCTTTGACTCTCTGAATTTTTATATTCCTCGTTATCATTATCGTACAACTTATTGTTACTGGAAAATTGCCATTGCTCGTCGATTACTTTTGTACGAATAGCCGAGCCATTTGTGGAAACAGATTTTTCTGCTTCGAAGAAAAATATATCGCGACCCACTGTGTGTACAGTGTGTACCGTGTAAGATGAGTCAACATCTTGCTTCTACATAATCGTGGGACAATCAATCAGCTGAGACCAAAAAATTCGATTTCAAGTTTCCGTCGCTTTTGATAATAGTAATTAATTTACGGAGGTCATCTCTTTACATTTTTCGGCGTTCAACAACGTGAATGTGAAGACGTATCGTACAATTATATAACATTGGCTAGCTACGATATAGTAAACACGATGCAACATGAGGGATTTTTTTTTTTTTTGAGGAGGGGGGAGAGAGATCGGTAATCACAAAAATATAACATACCGAAGCACCGTCGTGTGGAACTTCCTGAATTACGATCGATAACACCAACAAGTTTTTTTTTTTTCTTTTTTTTATATATATATATATATATATATATATATATATATATATGTATTTAACAATTACGATGAACTTTTACGCAAAGTTTATATACGATAAACATTAAACTGGCAAATTGTGCGTACCGTGTGACACAATGTTACACAAGTGTTGACGCGTTGGCTCTTTTCATTTTCGTCGATCGCGGAACGAACGTGTGGAACGAAAAGTTCGAGAGTTGCTTTCTTTTCTCGGATGTTCGTGGCTTTAGATATATTTATTCTCGTGTCGTAACTTGCTCGTAATTTAAAATAGAAAAATTAAAGTTATCAATTTACTTTACGATTGTACAGTGAATTTATATATGAAGAAACAAGACACCGTGATTAATACATTTATTATTGGTTGACATGATATACTTAAAAGTTTTCGGTACATTATAGCGCGTGGTAGTGTTTTTGCACAGAAAAATTTCACCCGGGACTTTCTCAGCCGTGCGTCAAAAGTTCACAGCAACAGCCAGAAACGAACTTTCGTCAAATCGTTTCAACAATGTAATGTAAGGCTCGTTCGTTTTTGGGAAATGTTTGTCATTGAACACATTTATAGAATATATTTCGCGAGTGCGTCACACGAGAGCTTTGTGCAAATAATTCAAAACGAACGTTTCATTGCTTCCGAGTGAACTGAGAAATAATATCGCTCGCTACGATGCTCTATCTACGTGTGTAAAAAACCGTTTTCACGAAATACTATTCACGAAACCCTGAATACTGAACTCTCTTTTTCGTTTACAGAAACCAAGAAACATATTTCACGTTCGTGGCAAGCCTTTAAATAATCGTCGTCATCGATATAGTATACAATAATACAGTGCTTGATTATGTTTTTAAACATTTCGTAAATATCAGTTTAACTATGTCCTTTGACCAACAGATTCATATCGATACAAAAACACGTACACACTTTAAAAATATATGTAACATGGAATTCTTAAGATTAAAGCCCAAAACCACTAAATACTTAATAACTTCAACAACGTTCATTTTTTTTTTTTTCTTTTTTCTATTCTTTTTTTTTTCGTTTCCTATTTTAAAACCCCTTATAAAGGAGTTCTCCGAATTCTGTGCAATTCTTTGTGACAATCGCGACTCGTGGCTCGTGGCCAACAATTGTTTAATATATTTATTAGTCAAGTTAAAGCTTCAACGAGTTGTAACAATCGAGACAGGATTGAGAAATGGCATTTCCGTCGAAACAGATCACTCGTCGAATGTACATCGTGTTTGGCACTGGAGAACAAAGTTTGAAAGGTGACCGAAACGAAATAAATAAAACGATTCGAATTTCATTGTTTTCACTTGTCATCGTGTTCTTAATCCAGTCTCAATCGAAACATTGAATGCCGAGGTGGTTTTTTATGTGTTTACACGGGGGACACGTAAGAACCACGATCGCATGTCGGTTGAACACAAAGCATGCTATTACTCAACTATGTGGAATGTGCTACTAAATTTCTAATCAGCTACTAGCTACACAGAATCTTAACATTATCGAGTAAGATATATTTGATACGTCCTCGAAACGTGGTTAAATTGAATTTGCAATTTCGTGATTGATACAACGAGCGAGCACCGTGGATCTACAATAGATTTACAAATCTGTTCGTGGATCCGTTGTAGAACTTGTCAGCGCTTTGTGTAGAAAATTTCTCAAACGATATACATATACATCCACGAATGTAGTCTCGTGTTTGAAAACATAAAAGGGTCTCTTGGTCGATAAATGTTAAACTTCTTCGTATGTCCTCGCGTATCATTAGAATCGTAGTGTCTGAAATAAAACTTTCAAAAAATACACGGACAATAGATAGATATGTGGCCAAGTATGGTCATTAAGAATGTACTTATCGCGTACATTTTGATAATTACATTTTCTGTGCTTCTTTTTTTTCTCTTTCTTCTCTCTTTAATACCTTGCCTGCTTTGTACTTGAATCACCGCATCATAGACTGTGCAGCGAAAACTGATGAGGTTCGCGATTCATTGAGCTTTTCTCTCTCGTTAATTAATCGTCGTGAAACTAAGGAGGAACTTTGGAAACTTTACGCTAAATACTACAACGACACACGCGGTGCGTAGCGTTGAAAACTTAGAAAAGTTTTGAACGTAACGTCGGGTGAAACGCATTAGAAAAGTACTCTCCGCCAGCTCCGCTGAAGCAACAGCGTAATAAGTAAAAATGATAGCCATTTCGTTTGATCACCGATACAAAGAAACAACACTCGTTATCAACTACTGAATGTCGGCAATTAAATACTCAAGGTTTACAAAAATATGTTTACAGTGTGCACTGTAATAATATAATCTGGACTTCATCGTTTGCATCATAAATCTTAAACACGGAATAAAGTAAAGTTTCTACCTCGTAAAAAAATAAGGAGAGATACATCTTTCTTTCGTCTCTTTTGTTTTTTGTCTGTTTCCTTTTTCCCTTTTTCTTACTGGCAATGATATCTGATGCGATCCGATAGATTTGTACAAAGAAACAAAACGAGACGTCCGGTCTAAGCTAATCGTTGGTAAAATCGGCTAATCCGTGCGCTTTTTTTCTTCTATCGTATAGTTGTAACAGTGTGTGTTCTTCTATTAACAAGGATTCACAGTGGATTCTGCTGGCAAAAATTCCATTTCGTCGATCATCTGTCCCGAATTTAATCGTAGTTCTCCGATTCCTGTTGAACCAGCTTGAACCGGCGCGGACTCTTGACACACATCGATCCGTGGCCTTCTAAGGAGAGGCGGCCCTTTCGTTGAAGATATCTCGTTATATAGCGTGCGATTAACTGTTGCGGCCTTATTTGCCACTCGTCCAGAACTTCCTTTGGTGCCAGCACCTACACAGGATGCAATGATAAAGTTTTATGTACTGCAACATTTACATTGGCATCGTTCTTTTGAAATTCTTTCGAATCGTACATTGTGTCGGAAATAAGCAAACAATCTGTTCTATTAGTATCTTTTCTTAATTATAGATATTTCTATAATTATAAATTATAATTATAGATTAATATTATTAATAATTAATTAATATTATATAATATTTATGTATAATTATAGATTAATGTTATTAATAATTAATTAATATTATATAATATTATTATAAGATATATATTATATTATATTATATTAATATTATATATATAATATAATATTAATATAAATTATATAATATTATAAAATTATTATAAAATAATATGATAATATAATATTATTATAGGATATATATTATATTAATATTATATATATAAATATAACATTAATATAAATTATATAATATTATAAAATTATTATAAAATAATATGATAATATAATATTATTATAAGATATATATTATATTATATTATATTATATTAATATTATATATATATATATAAATATAATATAATATTAATATAAATTATATAATATTATATGATATTAATATGTATCAAATAATATAATATGTTATATTACATCAATATTATTATATTAAATATTTTGTTAATAAAAAGGTACGTTATTACATCTTCAAAAACAGCTTTTTATATTTTTGCACTGCCTCTGCACTACCGTCACTGTCCATTGAATGTATGAAAGGAGAATACTGTTCCACGTAAAAATAACGAAGCACTACTTCCACTTTTCATACCACATACTCGAGATGCTTGCCAAAGTACATAGATAACACAGTCTTGCGGGAACATTCGACGAATAAATAATAACATCGAACGACAAAGAAAATGATCGGGAAACTCTGTATAGCTGGTATGAGCGCGTAAGTAATTTATAAAGTGTGTAAGATTGATGAGAAACGTACCTGATCTCCCTTGAAACGATCTATCAACGTTACACAGACGACAGCGGACTTGATGCCCGCATGATGCGTGAGAGCCGCGAACGAAAGACTTTCCATTTCTATGTTCACCACGCCAGCTTTGTGCAGCTTGTTCAAGTATTCCATCTTGTCGTTTTCCGTGAACTCGCAGAACGCGCCGTCCATGCGGCCTTGGCCCTCGTAGAAGTCATAAGTACACATCGTTTTGCCGATTATGGTGTCGTAGGGATCGTCGCGATGCGCCAGGGCCTTTATGTCGCGAGCCAATTGCCGGTCTAGTTTCGCTGGCCTTCTCACCAGTTTGCCAAGCACAGGCTAGAACATAATAATTCCATCGTGTTAAAGTCGTTGGAAATTTCTTTGGAAAATTCCAAAAAAGAGTTGTAAAGAAGAGAATTAATTGATTTTTGGCAAAAAGAGTGAAGTTTTTATTATTATTATTATTGTTTTTGTTTTTATTATTATTATTATTATTATTATTACTGTTTTTGTTTTTATTATTATTATTGTTTTTCGTTTTTTGTTGTTGTTGTTGTTGTTATTTGAAATTTAAATTTATTTTTATTATTAATATTTTTACTAAAGTTATTTTGAAATTTAAATTTTATGAATTTAAATTTATAACTTTTGTCAGAAGCTTTGCAGATATAAAACAGTGTATTTTTAGAGATTCGTGTGATCTTTCATAAAGATTGTTCCAAAGTGTTAATAAAATATTAACAATCAAAGGTTGTCCTGGTGTTAATGAGATGTTCAAAAAAAATATTTCGTTCGTTCGAGATTAGGCTTCCCCTAAAATTTTCAAATGTGTATTTTTACAGTTATATCATCGCGGAATCGTTCATTTTCAGAAAAAGGAAGGAAGTATTCTTTGATCCTTTCAATTTTGCGACAGTTTATATTTGGCTCCTCTTTTGACGTCACTTCCACTGTGCACGTGCATGCAATTAATTCAGCGCTCGAATGTTTCGAAGTATTTTTCAACATTTTTCAACGTGTCGCAATCTCTTTTTGCAGTCAAAATAATCGAAATAATATTCTGATATTAGCTTACCAGTTCCAAGTAGGATTTCAGCATTCCGTCGACCGCTTCCTCAGAAATTACCACGGTACCGCCTTCGAGGCCGATACCACCACACGTACCAATCCTGAAGAATACCGGATCCCTCACCTTCGCATGGTACATCAGCTTGATCACCTCGTGAAGCAAAATTCCCACCGACGGTATGCCCATTCCGTGCTGAACAGAGAATTTTCACATTAACATCATGATCGTGTATTTCAACCCTCTTGTTGTAGCAATGTCTGTAGAAATGGAATATGTAAAAATTTCGGTAAAATATAATAGCTTATATAATTATACAATTATATTATTATATTAAATATAATAGCTTATATAATTATATTAAATATAATAGTTTTTCAGTAAAAAATAAGGTTTTCTCAGTAAAAAACATTGAAATATTCAAATGTTCAGCCAATTAAAATAAAACGAGAATCGCAAAGCCGATCATTTTATTTCTGGACGATGATTTTAAATCGTTTTTTTGGGGATTGAGATCGTCAGAGCATTTAGGATTGAAACAATCCTATGGTCATACGGTCAGTGAAAATATGAGAAAAGATATAGTCAACTAATGTAATAATCACAGAAGAAAAACGTAATAGCTGATTTTCTAATTTCTAATGGCGCTTTGCTATTAAACAGAAGGATCATTATGTGAGAGCAATTCGTTAGATTCAGAAATGTAAATCTTTTAAAATATAATAGGTATTAACTTAAAATAGATATTAATAGGTATTAATAGGTATAAATAGGTATTAATTTAAAATATAATATAAAATATAATATAAAATATAATATAAAATATAATATAAAATATAATATAAAATATAAAATAATATAAAATATAATATAAAATATAAAATAATTTAAAATAAAATATAATAGGTATGACAAGTTCGTAAGACCGAAATCGAAAATAATTTGTCAAGTTCAAAAATGTGAGTTGACGTTTCGTGGAAGTCAAGTCAACTTAGATTAAAAAGAACGTAAGTCTTCTAAAAGTTGTTGACAATTTGACGAAGTTTCACGAAAGTTGCACACATAAAATTATTAAAACGAATCACGTTTTAACATCTTCGGCGAGCGAGCTTGTTTATCCGAGAAACTCGTAAAAATATTTCGTCTGCAAAAATATTTCTAACACGCGTGTATTCTGTAGATTCTCCTTTTAAATTGTCTTCCGAATTTGCTGAAAAATTCTTGAGGCCTCTGGCCTGAGCTTCTTCTTTGCGAAAATGAACTCGCCACGGCTACGCAATTTATTTTTTCCGTTTCTCCGCGTCAATCGACGTATTATCGCGTCACACGGATGATTTGCACAAAGCGTCGATGGAAAAATAGTTTGCTCGGCGAACCAAGTAACTGGTGCATAGAGAAAACCATGTGGAAGAAAAGAAGCGTGATGATTATCGCGTAGAATACTCGACTCGAAGAGCTTTCCCTTCCCGTTGGAATCTTCGAGCTTATGCTCGAGTAGACCTCGTTTGCTGATCGATGTTATTCGCTACCATAATTATTTGTAAAACACACTGATAATTTATTTAATTTGAAATTTGAAATTTTCGACCAGTCGTTCCTTGATGGAACTTTTCTTGAAAATGATAATGTTCATAAGAGAAGACAGTGAGTTAAGTATATTATTATTTATATAATAAGTATTATTATATAATAATATAATAATAATATACTTAACATACTTATTATATAAATAGGTATTATATAAGTATATTAAGTATAAATAATTATTAGTATATTAATATATTAAGTATTAGTATAGTATCAATATATAGTATATAGTATATATTAAATAATATAGTATAGTATTAATATATATTAAAATAGTATATAGTATTATACTAATATTATATACTATTATTATAGTATTATAATAATATTATATACTATTATTATAGCATTATAATAACAGTATTATAATAGTAAATAACAGTATTATAATAGTATAGTATTAATATATAGTGTATACTATTAGTATATTAATATATTAATATACTTAATATACTTATAAATAATTATAAGTATATTAAGTATATTAAGTATAAATAATACTTATTATATAAATAAGTATTATTTATATAATTTATATAATTCATATATATATATATATATATATAATTAAAATATCTTACAAAAATTTCTCACGAAGTATCATTTAAATGTTTCGATTCTGAAATAAATATCTTTTTTTTTCAAAGAATTCTTTCATTAATATTACAAATACAATTTTTGCACTTTCGTGCCTCAATCTTTCTAAGAATTTTTGTTAGTGTACACAAGATCGATGCGAATAATTATAAATATATAATATTAACAATATATATAATATTATATTATAAATATATAATAATTATAAATCAATAACTTTTTATACTATTTACTCCATCAATTGGGTGAATCAATTTGAAAGATCAAACATTTAGAGTTCCATGGGGGACACTCTTGAACACTCTCTTTGAACTTCTCTCATTATTGCATAATCTGATTGTGCACATGCTCTAGCCAATCGTGGAACTATAATACCCGACTAAATTGAATCCGAGTTAACCGTGGACAAATATGGCGAAGGCATATTTCATTCGATTCCAATAAGCTTTTCAATTTCAGCTACGTCCTGTTCGATCCTCTCTCTTTCTCTCTCTCTTTCTCTCTTTCTTTCTCAAGGATAAAGTATTTCAGTTTAATTAAATTCAGACTACACAAATACGTGTAAATATACGCGATATCAATCTTAAGCACGACGACATACATATGTTTAAATCAATCAGATTCTTAAACAAGCTTCAAAAATTTAGAATGAAATAAAAATAAAAAATAACAAAATGGAAAACTAAAATAGTTCATTGCATATTTCGAGTTGTTTTAGTTGCACGTTTATCAGTAATATAATACATATTGTTAATTTATATAATATAAATTACAAATAATAGCATAAAATTTCCATCAGAGATATGAACAATGAAAGAGAAAAGAAATAGAAAGACTTTGTAATACACTGTGAAGGATACAAACTTTCATTTATACATTTTACAAAAAATCATTTAAATTTCTAAAAATAATAATAAATTTCTAAAAATTAATCTATTATTCTAAAAAATAATAATAAATTCCTAAAAATTAATCTATTAATCTAAAAATAATAATAAATTTCTAAAAATTAATTTATTGATCTAAAAATAATAATAAATTCCTAAAATAATAATAAATTTCTAAAAATTAATCTATTATTCTAAAAATAATAAACTTCTAAAATAATAATAATTTATAAATAAATTTCTAAAAATACAGTGTTTTCCAGCTATAGAATTTCTAACGAAAATGATGAATCGATCAGTTTGATCACATTGGTAGTTCTAACGTCAAACATATGATAAAGTTTTAATTCAGTCACATGGTTATATATATAGTTTCAGATATTTTGCTCAATTCAAGAAACAGAATTGGCGAGGAAAAATTTCTTTCACCTTGTGCTTCAATGAGTGTGTTTACACGCAGCTTGCTAAATTTTGTAAATGTGACACTAAATGAGTATACTCACGCTAATAGAAAGAACCGGCCCAACTTTGTACATAGAGTATCGATACGAATACTGGCTAATGTCGAGGAGCGTCGTCCCAGCAGGAAGCTTGTGGCCAATTTCCTTCATTATAAAGTGAGCAAACTGTTCCATACGCTTTGGCGTTCCTCCCATGCACACGAACTGCAAACACAGTTACACAGTTATTTTACATAATCCCATTTGTTTCAGTTTATTTTAAACAAAGCTCCATCCACAGCTTCGACTCTCTCTCAGTAACAGAATTCCATTTACTCTATTTTATTGGAACGAAGTGTATAATTATAAGGTTAATACCAGATTAGCAGAAATTCTGAACGATTGAACTTCACTAATCTGAACAGGGTAGAGGGAATCAATGAACTGAATGAATCGTACGTAGTAAAAAAAGCAGTAAAAAAAAGTTTTAGCAGTAAAAAAAAAAAATGTTTATGAAAAAAAAGTGTTTGAGTATTTTTATTATCTGCCATAGATCCTTTTCAGATAACTTTCTGTTGCCATAAACTCCAAGAGGTATTTTAATAATAATCAAACACTTTTGACAAGTTTTATAAACAGAAATAATTTTAAGATTTTAAATATAAAAAATAATAGATTTTAATTATCAAAAATTGTTGACAATTTAAACCGTCCAATTTTTTAACCGATATAAACTTTGCAAAGAGAAATCATATAACAAACCATTTGAACTTTTCACTTTTTGAAGGATTTCTTAAAGAAAGATCATATAAAAAAGCTTGGTCTTAAAACAGTTCTGAATTCGTTCCTTTTAGACACGTTTTTACGTCACGTGGAAAGATGGAAAGGTTTCTCGTGACTAGATCCATTATTATTTTAAAGATCGAAGCCTTCCCTCTATAAGAACTTTGTTGAATATTAAGGTCAAGTGCAAAGATTCAAGATAACGTTCTGTCATCTAATTTCTAATATTCAAAGTTCATTCAAAAAAAAAATCATACAGTAAGTTTTCCGAGAGTATAAAGGGATGATTTCAATCTTCAAAACGGTGACAAAAAATGTTTTTAGAGATTTCTTTGATTTAGAGACACCCGTTGCACGAAAAAAAAAAAAAAACGAACTCAGGATTCTCAGAGTAGAGTGAATGCTTCACGAGAGTGATATCTGAATATTTGTATGATTCTTTTCTACAAAGCTATAATAATTTAAAATATCGACCATCAGGTAGTCAACAACTTTGCAAGTGTCAGGAGCTAATTTTTCTTTACTACTATAAACTTTAGCAACAAATTTAGCAACAAATGGCAACGATGTTACAATTTATCAGAAATAACTGAATTTTTGACGCGGGCCCGTAACTCGCACAATTGATCAGTTTAATAAGTAAATTACTTAATAATTTAATTATTATTATTAATAAATAAATTATTAATAAATATTGTTAAAATAATAAATAAATTTATTATTAATAATATTATTGTTAAAATAATAAATAATAGATAAATTTATTATTAATAAATAAATAAATTATTAAAAAATACTGTTAAAATAAATAATAAATAAATTTATTATTAATAAATATTGTTAAAATAATGAATAAATAAATTATTAATATTATTAATATTATTGTTAAAAAAATTAATAAATTATTAATATTATTAATATTATTGTTAAAATAATAAATAATAAATAATTTTATTATTAACAAATAAATTAATTAATCATTTAATTGACAGTAAATTTAATTAACAGTGTACATTTATTCGACCACAGATCTCAAACTACCACGAATCAACGACACAATGTTTTTCCAGAACATCGAAAATTACAGAACAGGAACTTGTAATCCGATTTTTTTTTCAACGCGTTAAAATTTTTTAGAACGTTTGATCAATTGTGTCAATTACGCTCACGTATATATTTCTATCAGGTACACACATACAGTTGCACTTTACTGTATAGAACAAAATGCCGCATCGATAAATGAAAGAAAGACAAGTCACATCGACTTTCTTCCCTGTATTCTGCCTCCTTTATTAGCTGCACGTTCTCTTTATTAATGTTGTTCACTCCAGCTTGACTGAAAGTGGCGAAACCGCGTCTCTCCGTCGCTGTGTTTGTAATCTGCAACAGCGGGATTTTGCTCTTTTCTTAAATGGAACACACAATTCGAGAGAGCCCGCGACAGTTGCCACGTACAAGATAATACCTTGAGGATTACCACCCCCGTGTAACGGAGGAACGCGCACACAAGTTTCGGCCATTGTTCTATTTAGGTCATGAAACGCTGTGCATTTCTTTTAATGGCGAACCACCTCTCCATTGATACATTTCCCGCGGATACGTTTTTGTAAACGCGAACATCGTTGATAATCATAAAGAAGAAACAAAAACCGCGGCAAAGAGATCGTTCGTCCGTGTGGACTATGAATATTTAACGTATTTAACGGTACACAAATACTGTTGCGGATATCAAATCCAACTGTTGCAGATATCAGATGCTCGAACGTGATTTCAATTAGAAACTACGAGCTGCTTATCTCGTCGAGAAGTCGAGATAAATCGGATTGCAAATCTCTCCCCGACGGGATAATCGTTCGTCGAGACCTCGTCGTCATTTCAATCAGAAGTTTCTATAATGCAATCGTGAAATCAAAGGATGAACGACGAATGTTAACTGAATCAAAATGAAAAATTCGCAAACGACTTGCCATATACAAAATATAATATAAAATATATTAAAATATAAAATTATATTAAATTATATACAATTTTAATATATTATAATATATTAAAATATATATATTAAATAATTATATTAAATATATTATTAATATATTAAAATATAAAATTATATTAAATTATGTACAATTTTAATATAAATTATATAAAATTATATATAATTTTAATATAATTATATAAAATTATATTAAAATAGAAAATATAAATAGAATCATTCTACGATATTATATAATAGAATCATAAATGATTCTACGTCATTTAATTCTATCGTTACAATATTTCTATAATTTAATTATTTTTTGTGCACCGTTACAATCTCTATTTTGTATTTATTGCATTTCTTATTTAATAAGAAACTTATTATACTTATTATTTTTCTCTGTCGTAAATTGTATTATTGTATTTGATTTTATTTTATCTATCTATATTTTATAGCTTCATACTACATAAGCCAAATATGAAATATAACTCAAATAATCTTCGATATCTATTTTCTATTTATTTAATAAAATATATTACTATACGTTACACGTTGTAAATTATACTTCTAATTATATCATGTAATGTATCCCATGTGGCAATATGACTCTAAACGAAAAATTCACTCGCCTACGACCGTTTGTTAAAATATTACGTCAAACATACAAAGTGCAAGGATGTATGATGTAATTGTTTATTGGCCGTAATAGCAATCACGAAATAGGAGTCAATAGATTTACGTAGTTACGAAGCGTTAAGACGGATAACGAATAACTTCTGAATGATACGGTAGAAACAATAGACAACTAAACTGTCCTCTGGACTGCACTGGAGGAAGCACTTGCTATTTATGAATGTCAAAGTGTTTCGTACAATCTACAGAACTTTTATCTCTGAGAAGAAATGTAAAAACTTTCAGCAATTTAAATACTTGGGTTTCCCTTATCCTTCGTACACAATTAAAGTTTGTACATCTTTCAAACTAACCACTGAAGAAAGGAATTATTTGTTTTGACAAACATGTTTACTTTTTATATCCGCGAATACGTTCAAGTATTGAAAGTCTGAGTGAAAAATGTAAAGTAATTTTCCAAGCAAACAACAATCGTCAAAAAGATAAGATTCTGAATGTTCATCATTTCGAGCGAAATAAATTCTGACAGAAATTGTTGTATTGACAAATATACCTGGATGTAAATTATTTTTTATTTTTATTACTGTTTACTTTTTTTTATATTTACCTTTATTATTTTTTTATTTTTTATGTTTATTTATTTTTCGTATTTATCTTTTACTTTTTTTTTACTTTTCTTTCCTGCATCGACGAGTATATTTAAGTATAGTACTTAACATACTAAAAATACAACATAAAGTAACTTACATACTAAAGTACTTAAACGAAGAAAATATATTTTTTAATTAACTCTCTAATCAAGACCAGAATAAAATGTTCCATTTCGAGTATTTATTTATTTTTTTAATTTACTCTTATTCAATTAGTTTATAAATCTTATTGCGAATAAGAGAATTCAAAATAAATGAACAATCCATAGAATCTAAAATTTCTAAGCAAATAATAGAGATAGCATTACACACACACACATTGTTTCTAACATTAATACTGAAATTACACTTGGAAAGTATAGTACTTCTACTAGCATGCGTCAATTCATCGTTATCAATAGAATTCTACGTTAAGTGGCTGTCAGAGATTATGTCATACATCATCTCAGAAACTTTGATCGATAGCGATTACCACATTGCTCGCACGATATCCAAACATAAATATTTATTAGAATTATCCAAGCTGGATCTCGCACTGACTCGCGAGATTAATTGCGTCAATTAATCAAAGATATTCGAACAGCTGTTTTGCGGCGTGCAAACTTGAAACATAGTTGTTTAAAGAACGAAAAGGAAGCTTTTTAAGGATATTACGATTTATACGTCACGTATTCACTTGAGTTTGATTTTGAGAAATATAATTTTTAAATTATATTTTAAATAATAATAAAATTTTAATTTTTAAATTATATCTTAATTTTGTATTTATATTTCAATTTTAGAATTGTAATTTTAAATATGTTATTTTGTAGGTCGCATGAAATGTCGGATTTGTGTTCATTCAACATTCGAGCGTTGGTTTGTTCCATTGCTAATTCTTTGTTTGATATTTTTGAAAAACTTATTATATTCTGTGTCTCTAAATTTTAAATTTTTAATTTTATTCTTTTCTAAATAAGTTTTTCTTTTTACAACATGCACCCTGCAAATTCGTATGAATTTTTTCCTGCATGAATTCAAATGCCTCGCTACTTTATATCTTTTCGACAGGTTTTCAAAAGTTTGGACTCACTCTTGCGTCAGGAACCTCCAACATAAACACACCTTTTTATATAAAAATCCAACATTTCACGATTCGACGGTTCTGAGGGAATGAAACTCAGTCGAGAGGTCAAACACAGTCATGTTATCAGAAAGTTTGCCGTGTCCAGAGTCTCTTCGTATTATTATACTTTCTACGAATACGAGCTAAGTTACCTGCAATCATTTTTTTCTGAACGTTCGTCGGATTTTCAGTTATCGAACAATCGCGAGATCGCGTCGCCGCTGACGTATTAAACCTGACTTTTCGTAGGGAAACAGTTCTCAATGTATTTTTAGAGTAAGTTCAATATGTTTTAGAAAGTACCGATGTTTTGGCATCGTTTCAACCACGTCAGAAGTTTAAAGGTGCAGTGACATTAAAGTTCCCGAGACTCGAGATACGTAAATCATCACCGACTGCGGATGTTTGTGCATTTTCTATGTTTTCGCGAGCGCGGCTGAAGAATCGAAATAAAATATAGAAATTCGTTTCGTCTACTGAATGTTATAAAAGATACGCTACTTTACATACTCTACATATTTTTAATTGCCACTGTATTTTTGGATTATACTATTACCTATATTGTCATTACTAATATTATTATATATCTATCAAATATTATATTATTATTAAATATCTATATTATTATTACTAAGATTATTAAATTTTCACTTTATTACTATTATTACTAATATTATTATATATATATATTAAATATCTATATTATTATTACTAAGATTATTAAATTTTCACATTATTACTATTATTATTAATATTATTATATATCTATTAAATATTATATTATTATTACTAAGATTATTAAATATCCACATTACTATTATTACTAATATTATTATTATTATATATATATATTAAATATTATACTATTATTACTAAGATTATTAAATATCTATATTATTATCATAACTAATATTATTGAATATAAATATAGGATAAAATGCATCCTTCATTATCATCATTATGTGTTTCCTGTGAAATGAATCTTTAACACTGGATTCAAGCGTGAAACGTTTCGTCAGAGAAGTATAATGATGACTGAAGTAAAAAAAAAATAGAGAAACTTTATAGTACAACGGAGTACACGAGTTTTTGTTTAAACATTTTACGAAAAAATCTCCAAAATGTACTATATAGGAAAAATTAAAAATTAACCACTTTAGTAATACATTCTAAAAACATCCGGTATCACAATCTGGTATCTAATAATTAAGTTTCAAGAAATTTTCATTTTTGACATGACTAGAAAGTGGCTAATGAATAGAATAAAGAAAGAAACAATTCAGTTGATAGTATGCTAACTAAAATTCCGTTCCAATAAATGGAGTTTGCATGAATTCTACTATACATAAAAAGAAAGAATTCTACCATGCATAAAAAAGAAAGGAAGAAAGAAGAATTCTATTCTACTGAAACACAGAAGAAATTCTTTTCGCAAGAGAAATTCTATTACATATAGAAGAGTTCTTTCTTCAAAAATAAAAGAGAATTTTTATCGTTATTCGAAAGATTTACCTTAACATCTCCGAACATTTCAACGAGATCGTGGGACTCGCTGCCCAGAGCAAGATGGTAGAGTATATCCTGATCCATGAGCTCGATGTTTGGATTTCGTAGTCGCACAGACCCATCTCTGTATCTAAAAAAAAAAAAAAAAAAAAAAACACGCAAACTTAAATTGGGGTATCCGAATATTTGCAAATTTCGAGAAGATTGGGATTATGCATATCAATACCGTAATCACCAAAAATATCTGTCGACCATAACTTAAGCTTCTTTCCAAGCGATTATACACCGAGGGTATAAAATGTGACAACATAAGGAGGATTAAAATTTGTTCTTCATTATCTTGATCATAAATATAAAAATCAACGATTAGAAGAAATGTTTAAGCAATATTTTATCGGGAAAGAAACTCGATAGCGTCTAATAGCATTTTAATAAAGACAAGTTTACCCGCTGCGATAACATAACATAACTCAAAAATCTTTGAATAGGGAAAACGAGTTTGAATATTTTTCTTATTATCGCAATAATACTTCGATACAGTAAAATTACGATGTTGCATAATTGAAGAACTGTGAATTTTGAATGTCGTCGTTCGTTCAGCAAATATGCAGGCATGATGATATTTTAAAATGATTGTGCCGGTATTGAAAGTTATCTGTTCTATTATGCTCGAATTGATATTTATATATAATATAATCATAACCCGGTTCAACTTTTCCTCTTGTAGACCTAGTTTCTTTGTCATGGACGAAGGACGACAACAGCGCAACATTAAAGTGACTAAAATATACTGTATCGCGATTGAACTTTGAAACAATTTCTTTGAATATTGCAACTAATTTACATACTTGGCTAATAATATTCAAATGTAACGATACTTTCGAAATTTTTCATTAAATCTGTATTTAAATAACTGTCGACATTAATATAGTATAATAGTATACTAAATAAATTATAATACCATACTATATATATATATATACTATATATAAAATATACTAAACTGACTAAAATATACTGTATCGCGATTGAACTTTGAAACAATTTCTTTGAATATTGCAACTAATTTACATACTTGGCTAATAATATTCAAATGTAATGATAGTTTCAAAATTTTTCATTAAATCTGTATTTAAATAACTATCGACGTTAATATAGTATAATAGTATAATAAATAAATTATAATACTATATATACTATATATAATATATCATATAATTATATAATATAGTAATAGAGTATAATAGTATAATAAATAAATTATAATACTATACTATATATAATATAGTAATACAGTATAGTTTTATTATATAATATAGTAATAGTATAATAAATAAATTATAATATTATACTATATATAGTATACTAAATTGTCCAAACAGATGCACGTCGTTACTATTTCATTCATGAAGCGAACGTTTATCGTTACTGTTACTGTTGTAAAATTTTCGAGATCTCTATGATGACAATAAAAAAAGTAGTAGATAAAATTCTTCATTGAAACGTTCCACTCTTTCCACTCTTAGAATATTATTTGTTCGTACAGTCTCTCGTACACTCTGACAATTTATAACATTTTCCAAGTGCAAAAATATTTTACGATCAGAGTAATATTTATTCCAAGTGCAAAAATATCTTACGATCAGAGTGAAATACAATTTATTCCAAGTGCAAAAATATCTTACGATCAGAGTGAAATACAATTTATTCCAAGTGCAAAAATATCTTACGATCAGAGTGAAATACAATTTATTCCAAGTGCAAAAATATCTTACGATCAGAGTGAAATACAATTTATTCCAAGTGCAAAAATATCTTACGATCAGAGTGAAATGAACGGTGCATTTTGAAAGCAGGAGACTTTTGAAAATGAAAATCCAGGCCAATTAAATATTTATTATTAATTGAGTGTTAATGCCAGTTAACCGCATCCTTCGCTTTCAAATTAGAAGTGTAAGGTGACGATAGATATCATCAAGTGATACAGTGATACGCACTTTCCAATGAACTTGCTTGAAACAATCAACGTGTCAATGCGATTGTCAACTGCATTGTTCCGCGAAATACCTACAGAAAACGGAACACAAAGCAGTTGCATTCTATTCGTAAGAGTAACATAAGCTTTCCTTTGATTCTCATTGTCAGATTGTTCGACAAGGTGCACATTCAGGTAATCCTTCGTTGCAGGAAAATTGAAATTTTTCAGCTCGTTGTTGGTAATTGTTGGTAAACCTTTTAAGTGTCAAAGGGAATTCTAGTTTGCAAGGCGTTGTTTGAAACCGGCCTTCGGTATCCGAAAGAGGAATTTAATTAAGAACGTCACTGAAAATCAATATACTCACTGAACTATCGATTTTCGATGACGATTATTATTATTATTGTGCAACGAACGTCGATCTGAATACCGATTTTCCACACATCTACGTGTAGATCAATTATTTCGAAATTAAAATTCATTCAAATACATTGAAATATCCATTTATAAAGTCGGAATTGAAGTAAATGAAATTTTAAGGAACAGAAGATTAACGAGGAGTTATTAATCCATAGTGTAACCAATGCATATACATCGACGATGTGAATCTCATAAACGGGCAGAAAATTGAGATATAATCAGATCTGATTCAACTGATTTCTTTTTTTTTTTTTTTAAGTACAAACTCGACACGAAAGAGTCTATTTTTATTAAAATAAAAAGTGAGATAGCATTTTAATTAACAGGGACGTGTGAATTAATTATATGTGTCTTTGACTTTAATGATCGTCTTATTTGTGCGAGATTGCTGTACAAGTAAGTGTGGTGTAAAGTAGCTGTAGATCGATCTTACACGAGCGTTTCTTGTTGATTTCCTTAACTACAACTCTATCGTATAACCAGAGCTCTGTTATTTTTAACACTCTGTTGAACCCTGTTTAATCTTAATAACACTGAATCAACGTGCAAAGTTTGTCAGTGGAATTTTGTAAAATCTGACATCGTCGTTGCAAATTTTATAAAATTATATGACGTGTGATATATTATATATTGTATAAAACTATGTGTTACGGCGCATTCTGTTCGTCGTTTATATTCTCTTCTCAAGAATAATTCGCTGAAATACCAAATATTATACCGACAGCAAGAGATAATCTTTTACATAATTGAAATCAGTTTGCCATTGGCATTTCACCCAGTGTGAAACAAACTCGTGCGTTATCAATCGACCATATCGCTAAGTTGTCACTCTCAGAAAAACTCATCGTTACATCACTTTCTGTGATCTACAGTAATGCGTAGAAAGTCGATGCTTGTAAATATGACTCTGACATAATATTAACGTTGCTACGATAAGTAAAGTGGCGATTAAAATTTCAACACCTCTTGTCAACAGCGATCTTAATAAAATAATAAATAATCTTGTGACAAATGTTGCAACAAACATATGTACAAGGAAGATTAGATAATATTCACGTCAAAATATTCACGCTCATTAATACCGATATCCAATCAAAAATCCATCACCATGATGAAATGATACTATATTATCAGACGGTACATGAACATGCCAAATTCTATAATATACGTGTCCTCCTAAATGCTTCGCATCTCAACATTATGCAACTCACTGTCAGAAGCTGCAACCGCGCTCTTTTTGGCTATCTCAGACACAGAGAACGGAGATATACTTTTTTTTTTCACTTCTTCTTTTGCTATACGTAGCAACTGTAGAACGTATAAAAATTCCAAGTTCCTTACTCATTAACCCCGCTATTATTATAGTCGTATGATTTCAATCAAGTCTCTCTACACGGAAATCCACTTTTCAGATCATCGATTATACGCCAATTACAGGCGAAAGAGAGAAGTCGTATAATAAATAATAATAAATAATAATAAATAATAATAGTAAAAATAAATAATAATAGTAATATAACTGATAAAATAAATAGTACAATAATAGTAATAACTAATAAAATGAATAATAATAAAATAATATAATAATAGTAATAATAATAGTAATAATAAATATAATAATAAAATAAATAGTATAATAATAGTAATAACTAATAAAATAAATATAATAATAAAATAAATAGTATAATAATAGTAATAACTAATAAAATAAATATAATAATAGTAATAAATAATAAAATAAATAGTATAATAATAGTAATAACTAATAAAATAAATAGTGTAATAATAGTAATAACAATAAATAGTATAATAACAATAATAAAATAAATAGTAGAACAATAAAACAGAAAATAAAATCAAGCATACCTAACCGCGTGATCATATTCCTGCATTTCCTCCTCGCCATCCCCGGCCGGCAGTTTCAACTGACACACATGGCTCTCCTCGTCCACAACGCGGTTCTCGCACGTGCAGGTGGGCATGTTTGCTGCGATTTCCTTTGCGTGGTATCACACGTACGGTGTGTGTGTCTGTGACACGTGTGTGACAGGCGGTTTCGTCCGGTTTACAGACGAAATAACGGAATTGAAACTCGGAAGAAAAATTAAAGAAGAAGAGAAAAAAAGTCGACCAACAGGTCACGATCTCTTCGCGAATCACGCCAAGGCCGGAGCTCTGCGAAACGACTGTCTGTCGACCAGTGCCGGTCTCCGAATAGAATCGTCCCGATGCTTCGAGGAACGTTTATATGTACCCCGGGGTTCCTCCGCAACCGAGCTCTCCTTCGGCCGTTCGTGTTCCCACCACTCGGTCGATTCGCTGCCAAACATACGCGAGAGCCAAGGTAACATACTCACATCGAGCGTGTACGTGTAGGCATAACTGTCCCCTGGCGCGTGTGTTGCGCGCGTACATGCGGCTCGCGAGTGATACTAGAGGCACGGTCATCGAGTCGTTCTTCTTTTTCTTTCTTTCTTTTTTTTTTTTTTTTTTTTTTTTTTTTTTTTTTTTTTAAGCAGCGTGGTTCTTTGGGAAATCCTCGATAACCATCGTGGTTCGACGATAACGAAATTTTATATTCTTCTTCTAGAGCTTCGTTGGCAAGCATACGTTGCTGCGTGGACTTGCAGTATGCACGGTATTTCATTTATGGGATATAAAAATTTAATTATTGCGAACTATAAGTTTATTTATATAACATTATAACTTTACTATTAAAGTTGTGACTTTGGTAT